AGGGTGGAGGGGGTGGAGAGGGAGGAGGGGGAGGAGAGGGAGGAGGAGGGACGAGAGCTCTGGTGCGTTGTCGACTACGTGCACAGAGCGCGCTGCTGACGGTCCTGATTCTCAGTGGCCTGGTCGACGGCGGTCGTCGGCTCGGCGGGACTGTTGAAGTCCCCCTCCTCGGTTTGGTCGGGGGAAGGCGGCCCTCGCTCCCTCTCGTGAAGACCGTACATCTCGAACACCCCGCTCTACTCATGCTTAATGCTTCCGCGGCGGGGTCAAGTGCGACTTGTAGCTACTGAGCCGACGGAAGTGATCTACGGCTTGCTATGGTCACCCCGTGATTGAGCCCGCTACATGGTGTGTTTGCAGGGATATGGTGAGTACATCCATCTTCTCTTCGATGATCTCTGGGCTCAGGGAATGCGGATTCGGCAGCGAGCGCAATCCGCCGGTGTTCAGATTCAAGTTGCCGTCGATGGACACCGTTGCTCGACAAGCGCGGACGCGGATATCGAGAGGGGTTAGTGAGGGGTGGTGGGCTTTGGTGCGTTCTCGACTGCGTGCGCAGAGCGTGAGGTTGACGATCCAGATTCTCAGTAGCTTGTCCGACGCTGGTCGTAGGCCCGCCGGGGCTGCAGAATTCACCGCCTTGGCTTGCCCTGGGGCATTTGGCACCTACTTTTGCTCCTACACGTCGTACATGTTAGCCCTTGTCACTTTCTATACGCAGCGCGTCCCGGGCGGCGGCGGCGGCTTGTTGCGATTGACTTTGCGAAGGCAATCTGCGGTTTGCAGAGTGCTCGGTACGTCCTCGTATTTCGCTCCATCGTGTCTGCCCGTTGACTGCGCCGTCAGCTGTACATCACGGTCCTCTTCAAAATTGCGAACGCATACGGATCCTTTCGACCATGTGAGTTCACTCAGAGGCATCCAAACCATGTAGTTCACTCAGGTCATTGTGAGTGCGAAACCACATGAAGGCATGTCAAGCGAGATCTCATACATGTTGGGGGTTGTCTACTACGAGGATATAGATGGCGACTCGTCGCAGTATAAGCTACGGCAGCTCGAAGGATACTACAAGACCGTGCACCCGGGGTACAACGCCAATGCGGGGTACGTAAGCGTAGGAGTAATCGTAATTGACCTTGACTTGCAGCCCAAGGCACCAAAAGTACACCATCGCAAGCACCAGGCCAACCTCCATGATCTTCGGCGTGTGTCAGTCAGCCAACCTCGAAATATGGATACCTGCCTACGCACCAGCAACAGGAAGCAACGGATATACTTCCAGGCTGTACAGACCCGGGTTTGCTTGCGTGGTCGGCTCCAGTGACACTGTTCTTCCGCCGGACAGGCAACGCGCAGTTCGCGCTTTGGACTACGTCAGCTCATTAACGCTCAAACAGGCGGCGACCTACAGTCAGAGCTTCTCCGATGCGCTCGATGCCCTCTCGAGTGATGTACATTTCATGAAGCGCATGTGCGTGCTCTCCCTCGTAATGGGCAAGGTCGGTGTTGTCTGACATGCTGATTTATGAGGAGGGGGGAGGTGATGGTCGACGGGGATGAGAAAAATGACAGTGTCAACAATACGCCCTGTTTAAAAGGGTGCAGGAGAACAAAGGGCCTTTGAGGGGAGGTGGTAGCTCGTTCCACTTTAGCCGGTCATGAATGCTACTTGCTTTGTTTGCTCAACTCGTTCCCGGGATATACCGAATGAGGACTTCTCCGTCCTATCATGGGCACCGTTCCTTTTCAGACGCGAGCGCCGGCGCGGGCGAACTTTTATCCACCTTTGTCTCTGCGACCTCGAGCGCTCCGACGCTTCAGCGCCCGCAATCTTCCAAGATCACGGAATTGAAACCGGCCTGTGAGCGTGCGGTCACTCACGAGTTGACATGATACTAAGCAGTCACTTGCCTCCCACCCTCACCTCCGCCGCATCTTCCCTTTCATGTCCACCGAAGCCGTCCCCGACGACGACGAAGTCGTCTTCCTAAGATGGGTACCCTCCTCCCAAGATGACGATGTTATCTTCATGGGATTTGGACGTCACGCTGCCATCGACGACGACGTTATCTTCGTTGGCTTTGGATATAGCCTACCTTCGGCAAGCCTGAGGTCTGATTTCTTGCTGCTTTACGCTCACAAATTGCAGGCGCCTTCTGGGTCAAGCTCTACTGCTGTAACATTTCCCTCGATATCCAAAAACCTCTGATCGACTGCATAATAGAGCGTTGCCTCGCTCGCCGGTGCCCCCACAAGCTCACCGGGAACCTCTTCGTCGCATGTACGTGACAGGCTCCGTCTGATATAGATCGCAGACTCACACAGCATAAGGCGACGGTAGACCCTACCTCTGTGAATAACCTCTCTACAGTGCCTATGGGCGTGAATCAGGTCCGGGATTTCCGGGCTGTTGCCGACGCTACTGACACTGGTCGTAGAATGGACCAACTCAGGCCAACAGTATGGAGCTTCTCCGCGAGTTCTTCTCGTGCATGTGCGGCGCATTGCTCTTCAAGCCCTATTTGTGGGTTGGGGGCTACACCTTCTGCTGTCTGGCATCTCACGTTGTTGCAGCTTAAAATGTGGACATATGCATTGCGGGCAATGCTCTCTCAACCTCAGCATTCATGATAAATGTCCCACACCAGGATGCCACCGGCCAATCGACGCAACACCCGCACTCTGCTACGGCTTCGGTGACAAAGTTGAATCATTTGCGAAGGAATTTGGGATCGATATTCCCGATACCGAACGTCTCGATCCATCCCGACATACATAGTTCTTTCAAACTCTCATCAATATATCTTTCTGAACTAGAGAAATTTTGGCGTAGCCACTTTATGGCCTTCCTCGCAGCTTGTGCCCGGGCGATGGTGACATGTTTGAAGCTCCAAGATTGTGAGCAGCAGAGGCGACCTATAGGGTACATACAGCTGAGTACTGAAGGTGAACCACGCTCAGGAGAGCTTTGAGGCAACTGAAGAACCTGCTTGGGCTGGCTGGCATCCCTATCTTGGCGCTTAATACACCACCCGCTCGTTGCCAGGCCATGTCCTGAATGCTGCTGGTGGTATGTCTCTGCTGGGTCTCGCGACTCTTCATCAGTTGTCACGTCTTCCAACAAGCCGTGCTCTGGAAACATGTGAGATATCTTTCGTATACTTCGCTACGAGCGGTCTTGCATTGTCTCACAGTGAAGGTGAACTACCGGCATTACATGATCGAATGCCATAGTCGCCTATACGGCTCAATTCAGGAGGTCTTGCCTATGCGGCTACCCTGCGTGCCGTGAGGAAAGTGGCGTACTGCACAGTCTAAGTTGGGCTCACGGGTCGGAAGACTCCATCGCCAACATGAGATTTCATGGAGTCTCTGAAGGTACATTAAAATCTCCTGAAATACCCTGAAGGTCATAAAGTCGGACAATCAATAGGCGAAGGTACGTCGGCGGTCGGTAAGTCTTCCCTCGCAGACTTCGTGAGTGAGCCTCGAATGGAAAGCCCAGTAAAGGCGGGGTGTGTGAGGAGGTTTGGCGAGGGCTGGCGGGATGACAAGGTCGCGGACGACTGCGGCACTGGGAACAGGGTGACAAGTCGAACAATGACTGTGACGGCAGTCACATGATATCCGCATGGCATTGCGTTTACCAAAAAAGGCAGATTTCGGCTCGTAGGACGCCGTGCCGGTGATGGCTGGCTGCCAGCTCAGCCGACGATGAGGAGCGTAGGCTGATCTCTTCTGCTAACGTCCGGATGTCTACGCCGTCTCGCATGCAAGGGAAGACGCCGCCGACGACGACGCGCACCACCGACGACGCTGTACTCGCGGGGTCAGCTGAATAAGGACGCTCAGCGATCGCGCGACGTAGCTAGCCGCGCTCCCCCTTCTCCCCTCGCTGTCCGGTTCGCAGGAGGATCCACCAGGCAAGCGTCTTCTCAGGGACTCTGGTGAGTGTCACGGCCCCTTCTCTGATAACGACTGATGGGCTGAGAGGAGGCGGGTCTTGCAGCGAGCGCGCCTAGCGTGGCCGGCTGGCCGTCGTCGATGGCTGCCGTTGCGCGACAGACGGCATCGCGGATATCGGTAAGGGATGGAGGGGGAGAAGGCCGGGAAGGGGGAGGAGGGGGAGGAGGGGGAGGAGAGGGAGGAGGGGGAGGAGAGGGATTATAGGGAGGAGAGGGAGGAGAGGGAGGAGAG